AACTCCGATCTAGATATTCGTCGAGAGGAAGGTTTCCAGGCCATTCACGGAGTTCTAGATTCCAAAATCCTTGGAGGGGAAATCTCCAAACCCCTCCTGAAAATCTTATTGATTCCAAAATCCTTAGAGGGGGAAATCTCCAAACCCCTCCTGAAAATTTTATTGATTCCAAAATCCTTAGAGGGAGAAATCTCCAAACCCCTCCTGAAAATTTCATTAATTCCAAAATCCTTGAAGGGGGAAATTTCCAAACCCCTTCTGAAATTTTGAAAAGTTCCGGAATTGCAGAGGAAAGTTTCCATACTTCCCTGAATTCTATTCCCATCGATTGCAAAGAGGGAAGTTACCAAACCTCACCAGGCAATGTGACTCAATCCTTTTCGAAGGAGTCGAAAGAAAAGAACTCCTCGATGCTCATTGAAAAAATAAACTTTCCAAGGGTTGGAATTCCCATAAAAAATAATAATAATAATCAAAATGATCTCTCTCATATTACTATTGAAGAACTCGCCAAAGGAGTACAATTAAACAATTCTCTAATTAAAATTTCGAATAATATTAAGAAGAAAACTAAGCCGTCTTCAAAAATTCTCGCGTCTACGCATACTCAATCGCAAGGAATGTTAGAAAAATTCATGCGCAAACGTAAAACAAAACTTGAAGAAAAGAAAGAACAGAAATCAAAGAGTGATATTTCGCATGAATGCTTGTTATTATCGGAAGAACCTAAGAAGAGCCGACTTGAAGAAATTACCGAATTATTACGTTTGGAGCATTTGGATGCGCAGGAAAGAGGAAATATAATAAATCTCATATCTAATAGCCAGGACAGATTCCATATCCCTGGAGAAAAATTAACGGCAACTCAGGTATTGCAACATCAGATCCCGACAACGGATGATCGGCCTATTAATACCAGGCAATATAGATTCCCGCAAATTCATAAAGAAGAAATAAACAAACAGGTTGGCGAATTGCTCGAAGGAGGTATCGTAAAGCCCTCACAGTCACCATATAATACTCCTATCTGGATCGTACCCAAAAAGGAAGATTCCAAGGGAAATAAACGCTGGAGGATGGTCCTAGATTTTCGAGCTTTAAACGAAAAAACTATCGGCGACGCTTATCCGTTACCAAATATTGTTGATATATTAGATCAATTAGGCGGAGCGCGATATTTTTCAGTATGCGATCTCTCCTCCGGATTCCATCAAATAAAAATGGACCCTGCAGACAGTCATAAAACCGCATTTACAACTCCATTCGGTCATTATGAATTCGATCGAATGCCCTTCGGATTAAAGAACGCTCCCGCCACTTTCCAACGATTAATGGATCTAGTATTGTCAGGATTGCAAGGTGAAGAATTATTCGTTTATATGGACGACATTGTCATCTACGCCAATTCACTAGAGGAACATGAAAGGAAGTATAAACTATTAATCGATCGGCTCCGGAAGGCTAATTTAAAATTACAACCCGACAAATGCGAATTCTTAAAAACTGAAGTAACTTATCTGGGACATATAATCAGTAAAGATGGAGTTAGACCGGACCCTAAGAAATTAGAAGCTGTACGACAATTTCCTAGGCCTAAAACGCCTAAGAATATTAAGCAATTCCTTGGATTAGCAGGATATTACCGAAGATTTATACATAATTTTTCAAAATTAGCAAAGATTTTAACAAATCTACTAAAAAACAACACACCTTTCGAATGGACCACACAACCTCAACATGTCGAAAGAAAAACCA